AATGTATATGTTATATATATATATATAACATATACATTCTGAATGATTGGGTTATATACCTCTAGATTATCTCTCTCTGTATAGATATAGATACTATATAGACATATACTAAAAGCCAAACAAAATAAACAACTCTAAAATACAAGGAAGCAATACCTTGTATTTCTACCTTGATCCTTTCTGTATAAACTGAGGACACGAACACCCCAAGGTATGGTTGATGGAAAAGTTTTTACTGTTTAAGTATGAGGGAGTGTATAGCCAGAGGCATCTGGAAAAGTCCAGAGCAGGAAGAGAAAGTAGGCTAACCTTGTCCAGAAGACTGGACTGGGCCACGAGAGGAGGAGGGGGATTGAGAGAGGAAGACAAAGGAGACCAAAGGAGAGGAGCAGGGACCAAGGGAAGAAGACAGAAGAGAGCATGGTTCAAATAATGTGGCAGGGTTATAAGGGAATGAAAAGCTTGGGGAGGGAAGCCCATCAGCTGGAAAGGTTTAAGGTAGGGGGCTGACTAAGGAGTGTAGAAAAGAGCCATAGGTACTTCTAATACTGAGGAAGACTGCAGACCAGCGTGCACTTCAGGATGCTAATAGGCAGCACACATAGCCATTTGTCCCCAGCATCTTTTGGATCTTACACTTTCTTCACTTTTTCCTAGGATTTGCTAATAGTGGCCTTGAGGATATAAGATTGTGGCCAGCTGCTCCCATGATCTTTACTAAATACCAAATCAGTTGAGAGACTGTCCTGCTAACAGTGAAGGAGAGAGGTGAGCCCTTGCATAGCACTGTTGAGTAGGTAGGGAGTTTTCACAGGTCAGAATGTGTTAAGTCAGGAGGAGGCTTCATGCATGGCAAAGGGCCATTAAAGACTATATCCCACAACCCTCAACTCCCTTCATGTTACCTTCAGTGAACACTGATGTGCTATCCATTGCTCTAAAGGTGTGCTTTACTTCTAGTGTGTTGACCGGATCCTGTAGCTAACATTTTATTATTAAACTGTGACAATTTTGTCATTGCTGTAGTGAATACTGTCACTCAGAGCTTTGTGAGATGTGGTGTAAACATCATATTTGGACAGTGTGATACAGTTTAGTTATTTTATAACTGGCATTAACGAAAGGACATATGCTTACTGGAACACATGAGAACTTTTGCACCACGAGGATATAAAATTAGGTTACAGTCAGGCCAGGAGGCAGCTTTATTCTAACAGCTTCACATGTTCAAATCCTACAAGAGATCACAAACTATTGATGAGCTGTTGCAATTAATAAATGTTTCAATGTTATTGTCCATGACTTTGATATGAGTTTGGTATTTAATTCTTTCAAGTTTGCTACACAATTTCTATACCTCAAAAGTTTGACCAATTCTGAAAGGTTGGAAATTACTGTTTTGGGAGTAGTTATAAATTTTAAAGGAATAGTGTGAGGCATTTGGATGTTTGGTAGCTGATTCTTTCAGTGTCATCTTGTCCATGGAAAAGAGGCATTTCAGTGGTCTTTTTGAATCATGTGAATGCTTCCTGTCTATCATCAAGTAGTAAGGGCATTCAGGTAAAGCTACCTTTACTTCACAGTGACTACTGCAAATGGAAGTTTTCACTTGAAACATTTCTAGACTTCTCAACAAGGAGGCATCGAACTTAAATGTTTCTAGAAAGTTCATGCATCCGTGAGTGTAATGGTACCATCAAACTCCCAGTCAGTCTAATGGTGTTGGTGTAGCTGTGGGCCTCTAGTACCCAGGACATTTGTCCCAGATGAGGTCTCCAGAGTGCAGGAAATTATCAAGGATACAAGCAGACGCAGATACAGGTGAAGATGCAGGGAATGCTGTCCAGACTTTGCCCCCCAAGAAAGACATTATCTTTACTACCTTGGGGTATAAGCAAATCTCTGGTGAGGTAGGGAGACCTAGTTATCCTGGGGAGAGTAAATAAATCTGCTTTCTTAACAGGAGAGTGACACTCTCTAGATTTGGTGCCTGTTTGCTACACAAATGTCCTTAGCTAAGCTGCAATGGTGAGATCTACTTAAGGAATTGGGCTCAGTGTTGTGGGGGAACAGAGATGGCGACCATGAAATTTGAATCTGGGTTTGAGCTGTACTGTATACTGATTGGATATTCTTGCTTGAGTTATCAATTGCCGCATTCTTCTTTGTAGAAATATTGAAAAAAATTAAATTAGACAGTGCATCTGAAGTATGCAGAGTTATACTTACCCCATAACAAAACATTGTAAAAAAAAATCAAGACCATGGAAACGAGTTAAGAAGTTCAGCAGCAGATTAAAAATGAATCTGCTCAGTTCTAGATAGGATGCTGTTGTTTTAAACCCAAGGGGGGGGGGGGGGGGGGCGCCCGCCCAAAGAATCAGGGATCTACGCAGAAGAAGTTGAGAGGCTTCTAAAGCTAGGGCTGGAAGATGACTCCAAGGAAATAGCATCTTCCAGACATAATAGAATTGATGCACACATGAACTCACAGAGACTGTAGCAGCATGCTCAAGACTGCACAGATCCAAACCAGACTGAGTCCCAACACTGAGAAGGAGAAGAGGGTGTGACATCCCACCTCTAACTAAGAAGCTATCTGCAATTGATGCCTGCTGGGAAAGGGAAAGTCAGTTTTCCCAAATGTAATATATGTCACTGAGTGTATCAGCCTCACTTTAGGACAGGTCAATTTCAAGAAATGATTCTCCAATCCTAAATGGACGCTATTCTTCTCTTTTTATTTGTATTATTTGACTTACTGTTTCTTCTTTGTTTCTTTCTTTCTTTGTTTTTGATTTTTATGTTTTGTTTCTGAAGAGAAGAAATTATGAAGTTGAGTAGGTAGGGGGATGGGGAGAATCTGTGAGAAGCTGGGGGGGAGGGGAAAGAGTATATTTAAAATACAGTATATGGCAAAATTATATAATAAGAATTGAGGGTGTTCTCTTTTAATACAACAAAAAGGCAAGAAAAATGCCAAGAACTGGTTTAGCTCCTTGCAGACTCTGCCAGGAACAGGCTGCTGCTGCTTCCTTCACATTGGGTCTTGTTGCTATGGTAATAAATGGGCAGGGTTCCTCTAGGCCCAAATTTCCATCCTAGGAAGGAGGAAGGCAGCAAACCCAAGCCTGCTTCTCACAGCTCTGTTCTATTCTCCCAGGAGAAACCTGCTTCTTAGGGATTTGATCTATATATAGAACTTCCGGTCTGGGTGACAGGCTACCCTGGCCTGAGAGTCTGTAATTTTTTAGTTACACGTACAGCTGTGAAAGTCACAATTCTGTTAAAAATTACAAGACGACGCTAGCCAATTGACTGGCGGTGTTTGCCACAGGTGCCCTCACACTGCTCAAGCTGTTCAGGCTTTGATATAGGCCTTCAGTGAGCAATAAAACATGACTTTTCTGGCATCCCCAGACTTTATTCACTGTATGCTTTTTAATAGGTATTCATATGCCAATTTGAAAAGGTTAATTCTTCTTGATCTAGTGGTCAAAGGACAGATATATCCCCAGACACTGAATAGCTCATTTGGCGAACTTTAAAATGTAAGAGAATTAACATCTTGTGGTTAATAAGCCTACTGGAAGGTTTGTTACCCTGAACACTAGCAACCTGATTACCTTACGCTGTGGTTTCCTCTTCTGCACTAACAGGAGCTGTGGGCATCTCCAGCTGTCCCTCTGTAGTTTAGCTTCAGCATCAGCCTCCATCTTTATCTTATCAGGGGTTGGTCATCTGGGCCTCCCATGAGTCTGTGCAGATTGATAATTGTGAGGTAAGCTTTAAGTTCAAAGATAATCGTTTCAGCCATATTCTCTGGTACGAGTACTGCAAAAAAAGGATTTTTTAAAAAAATAACTTAAGAAAAATGAAAGTACATTATCCCAATTTTAGTGATTTGCCGTCACACATCAAATGTAAGTAAAAGCTTCTTGTAGTCATAAATATAAATATTGACATGAAATATTTCAGAGAGTGAAGTCATGTCATTGTGAGCATCATAATTAAACAAGGACTTGCCAATCCTTTACTGCCGCTTCTTAGAGGCTTTCCATTCTCACTCAAACAGCTGCTTTGACTACAAGCACCAGCCTATGGATTTGTACCCATTTCCTCCTGTTTGAATGAATTTAGTTATGAGACAGGATGCTGGCTCCTTTGCCTTTTCAAAGACATTGGAGATGTCAGGAGTGAGAACATCATGAAGTTACCACCTTCTTGCGTGAAGCTGAGGGAAAACATCTGTTTGTGATGGCTACTCACAGTCTGTCACATATTCCTCCTCTTCTTTCTTTCTACTCTTAGCTTGGAGGACCAACCCAGGGACCATGGGTGACCTACAAGTAAAGCTTGGTTACTCTCACTCTGGAAAACATGGATTCTTATCATCAGAGCAGGAGTCCCTGATACTTATTGACAGTAGACCCATACTACTTAAAATGTTTTAATAACACACAACTGAATAGGTATTTACTTATAACATATTAGCATATTTTACCAGGTTAATAATTTACATTGTGAGATGTATGCAGAACAGATATTATTGAAGCATGAGATGAAGTGAGGCTAGCAGCTGCTCAGAATGAACTTTCTGTATCAAACTCAGGGATTCTTTTAGGAGAAAAAGAGGACACTTCCTTACATGAAAGACATCCACAATTTTATAAATCTTAATCCGTTTTACTCTGAGTCTACTTAAACCCCGGGGAGCTTAGTTCATCATGTCCTGCCAAAATACAGGTCAAAAACATTACAAGAATAGACTTTAAAATAAAATCAGTTTTCTAAAACTACATAGGACATAGACTGTGATCAAAACCAAATTCCCCTTGACCATAACATTTTCCTTCAGGATCATGATTTATTAACCATCTTTTGCTGGTGAAATAGAGTCTTTTAATTTGATATCTTACTTGAAATGCCAAGGCCACCCTTCAGGAAACAGCTTGCAGCTGAGGTGTGGAGAGTAATGGCTTGGAACTCAAGGTCCTTTCAAACTATTTTCTCAAATTTGCATGACATACTTGTGCAGGGGCCATGCAGATTTCCCTTGTATAGTTTCATTTTTTTTTTAAGTATATATGAGGCCAAAGTGAGTACATGTTATTTTCTTAGAATAATTAAAACAAATGTCCTCTACCAGATCTTGAGATTCTTAACCTTGGGTTCAGGGATTCTTCTGTAAGTGGTTGTAGACAGCTTCTATCACTAAAATTTTTATGTGGAACATTTGTCCTCATTTCTGGCCATGACTAGTCATTTAGGGGACAGGAACCACACTAGTTGTTTTTTTCCAGAAAGAATTTAATATAAAGACTTATCAGCAGCTTGGCCCAGAAGAGGCTTTATTTGGTTTATAAGTCATGGTCCATCATTAAGGGAAGCCAAGACAGGGACAGGAAGTGAAGGAGAGACCATGGAGGAACGCTGCTTACTGACTTGCTCTCTATAGTTGGCATAGCCAGACTTCTCATCTAACCCAAGACCACCTGTCCAGAGGTGGCCGTGTCCACTGTGGGCTGAGACCTTCCACATCAATCATTATTCAACGAAATACCCTGTAGATATGTCCGTAGGCCAGTCTGACGGAGGCCATTCCTAAATTAAGGTTTCTTCTTCCCAGTTGGCTCTAGGTATATAAACTTGACAAAACTGACCAGCAGCACAAGGAGCAATGAAGAAAATGTGTGTAACACACCTATTGTGATTGTGATGTATAAATTATAATATGAAGTTTGCTTGTTGATCCAGGAATCAGCCTAAGAGGACTGCCTGGATAAGATTCCAATCCCAGAAACATGACCCAGTCGTCACTGTTGCAGACTTGAACAGACAAAAGTAATTAATCAAAAATTATTTTTGAGTTCATATCAAGCTGTGAGGCTAACAGTTGTGTACTTGCTGTGTAGCTGCTGGTATTTAAAATGAATAATTTGATATTATTTTATATCTCTGAGCCACTGTCTCAGCATATTGAATGAAAAGAAATGGAGTTGTACTTGAGTCCAAAAAGACCAAAACCAAAGGAGGTAAGGAATGTTTGAAATTTCTTTTTCAATAATAACCAGTAACAAATTATTACTTTGGAGGTTGATAGTGTCATGTATGTGAGCTCTATCCAGCATAGTCAGCTGAGGCAAAATCAACTTGACACTTTCAGCCATCTATCCTGCTGATTTCAAAGAGGCTCAGGCTCATCTTCTTTGAAGACTGAAGTAACCATGGTGATTTTCCAGCTATGCAGATCACACAGGTACCACCTGAGACAAATTTCAAGTTGCATTAGTTAGTGGAGTCATGCACTCAGATGCCTTTCCTTCTGCACATGGTCCATCCATCTACTCTCGAGAATGGCCAGTGTCGACATAACTGAAGTAGAGCTTTGAGATTCTTGACAAGGCTTCTCATTCCTTTCTCTCACTATCTGCTTTCATTGCCCCACAGTTTCTCAGGCCCAAATCTTGTGTCATTCTTGACATAAGTTCTCTTTGTGAACACGTTGTACTTCCACTCTGTTGCTTCTTGGTTACATTCCCTGTTGCTGTGATAAAATACCCCGACAAACACAATTTAGGGGAGAAAGGGATTATCTGGATAAGTATTGCTACTTACAGGCTACTGTTGCAGGGCACTCAGGGTGGTTGGAACTTAAAGGAGCTAGTTATATGAACTGTCCAGGACAGAGAGTGAATAACTGAATGTGTGCTTGTGCTTAGCTAATTTTTCTCTTTCTTATACAGTCCAGGACTCAAACCTGAAGAATGGTGCCATTCACCTTTAGGTTGGGTTTTCCCACATAAATTAACATAGTCTAGTATAGTGGTTTGAATGAGAATGGCCCTTAGGCCCTCTAGTTGGTGAACTGTTTGAGAAAGATTAGGAGGTGTGGTTTTGTTAGAGTAGGACATGTGTCACCTCAGATACGCTTTATGGTTCCAAAAGCTCTCAGTCTCTCTCAGTCTCTCTCAGTCTCTCTCAGTCTCTCTCAG